TAGGCCAACAAAAGTAAATCAATTCGAATGATTTCAGACAGATAGCGATCAGATAGTGTCATTCAAATTGAATCTAACAACTACCGATACATTGTCGTTTTGCATCCGTTTGATCATTCTAAACATGTACTAAGCTAAAATCTTCCTTCGTAAGCAAATAAAATATATATTGTCGAAAATTGCGGAAACAAATTTGACAACAATCACAACAATAATAATGAAAATGAAATTCTCTCAAAAAAAACCTTATCAAGGAGCTGTGCCAATGTCCACAATATCGAAAGTTTAACGGATGGAGGATAACGATCGCCAAGCACACGTATCAACGGACCAGTCACGTTGACCACATGCGATTTCAGCGAGACCGCCGAACTCATCGACACAACACTGCCCAACGTTTCACCAGCGATTTCTTTCATCTCGACACCTCCCGATAAGATCCCTTCACGAAGGATTGGTAGTAGAGGTTGAAGTCCCTTCAACAGTTCAAATTTACAACTTCGACTTATTTCTGTTGATGTAAACTAAACATTCAATCCTTCGTAATTGTGAAGAAATTAACGAAATGATTCTTTAAAAAAATACCTTCGGATGCAACATGCCCGGTATACTGCTGCCGTTTGCATGCGTTTCAAGTGAATTCAGTGATTGTCTCAGTGTTAAAATGGCGCTGATTTGCTGCTTTTGATCGAGACTCTTGGTCACACAAATCAAAGTTTCGATCGCATTCTCAACCACTTCGTTCACGGTCGAATTATAAAGAAGCAACGTTCCCGGCAATATCTCATCAACAAACTCGCTCAATTCCACCTGAAATTCATCTTCTTTTACAACATTGTTTCTAAAATGCTCAAGAAACTAATTCAGTGGAAACATGCGAAGTATCGAACCATGAGACGGATGAATTTTTAAAGAATTTTTAAAAATTATTCTACAAACGAATAACTTTCCTTAAATAGCAGCAAAACGAAACCGGAAGCACGAGAACAACGAAGAATAAATGAAGTCAATCCACAGAAACATACTTTGGTATTTTTAACAAATCGATGCATTAATGCTGATGAAGGGATATG